TAATTCTTATTTTAATTCATTTTTTGAAATCATTATCACAAACGATAAAGATTATGTACACAACAAGTGTGTGTATTTTTTATCTCTCTGAAACGGGACAGGGACAGGAGATGACATGGGTGTGTGTAAGTTGTGTGTGTTTGTTTGTGTCTCTTTGCGTGTGAGTCTTACTTTTCTTACTTGTCCTTGGCAACAACATCATTGCAAACCGGACAGGTTCAATTTGCTTGTGTGTACGTTTGTGTGTGTGTTTGTATGTATGTGTGTGTGTTTGTGTGTATGTATGTGTGTATGTGTGTGTGTTTGTGTGTATGCGTGTGTGTGTGTGGGTGTGTCAGTGTGTGTGTGTATATGTGCGGGGTGTTTGTGTGTATGTATGTGTGTGAGTGTATGTGTGCGTTGTGTAATAGAAAGTATCAATAATTGTAACGTAACCGACAAAAAAGGGTAGTTTGTAACTAAGGGTAACATTATGGTTTGTCATTTTAAAACCAAGATCGGTTTGAAAAGTTCGGCATTTTGACAATTCCGGCTTATGAGGATGTTGATAAAAAAATAATGTTCGAGGCAGGAACGTGACTCCGCATAACTGTGGGGGTTTTATAATATTATCCAAAAAAATTGTTAAAACGCAGCCCGTGAAAAACTGAATAAGTCCCCACCTCTTGAATATTATATAGTGTTTACAATGAGTTTAAACTCACAGTATTGCAGATATTCTGGAAGCAATGTTGAAGTACTATCTTGTGTAATATCAGATCAAGCAAAGTGTTTCCCTCTGTCTCTCTCAATTTCTCAGTCTCGCTCTTTCTCTTTCCTTTTTCCTCCCTCCCTATCATCTCTCTTTCTCTTTTTCTCATTCTAGTTATCAATCTACACATCTGCCCAAATCTCTCTCTCTCTCTCTCTCTCTCTCTCTCTCTCTCTCTCTCTCTCTCTCTCTCTCTCTCTTTGTCTCTCTCTCTTTGTCTTACTCTCTCTCTTTCTCACCCTCGCTCTTTCTTTCGTCCACATTCCCTCCCTCTTTCCCTGTCCACTATCTCTTTTTCTCTCTCCCTCTAACACACACACACACACACACACACACACACACACACACACACACACAGTACACACACCCCCCCCCTTCCCCGTACTGACATGAGTTCTTGGAGGGGTCTATTAAACTCTAAGTGCGTTTATTGGTCAGTTACCTCCAATACATTAGCGCCGATTTCGATGAGGAGCAAACACATGGCAAACAGCTAACCAACCACTAAGTAGTCTTGTTGAATCTGTTCCAAGCCCTTAATGTATCTTAAGAGCTACATCGCCCTAATAGCAACGAATGCCTTGAACTGTTTGACGAATGTTGCTAAACAAAAATAGAATTTTAATGCTGCTCTGATTATATTTTTGTTTTTTGCACCAGCTTGAGTATGATTTGTTTTCTGAAATTTTTAAATGAAAGGATAATTATAGATCTTTCGGTTCGGGGGTTTGAGCCTCAGCTCGGTCCGATGTTGTGTCCTTGGGAAAAGGCACTTTACGCGAAATTCCCATTTGGCTCGGTCCTTTCGCAGATGGGCGTTAAACTTGGAGGTCTTTCCTATTGAATAACCTAACAGTGTTGGTAGGGGTGTTAAACCAGTGCCATTTCAACATTTTTTATATAGATCTCACAATTTTTCGATAATACAAAATCATTGAATCACACTGAAGTAAGAATTATCACCAGCTTCTGCATTATAATAGTTAAACTTGTCGACTTTGCATGAAAAAGACGCACGATCGATTCTCAACAGCGACAAATCCGTTTTATTCGGTATGATAGTCGAAGCACGATTCCCCTGAATGGTCTACATTAGATTGACGTGAGCGTAAAACATTATAACCGACCATAGGATTTTGGTTGAGAAAAGGGATCTAGAAAGGAAACCTAACCTGCTTTGCGGGTTTGCGCTCTTTAGAGGGATGTCTTAGTTGTGTGTGTTTTTAATGTTGCTTTAAAAAAAAAATTGACCTTGCTCTTATTCAGAATTACAGACTTCAACATAAGTTAAGGACCATCTTGACAGACAATCCTCATTTTTTTTTATCCGAAAAAAAGACAGCAAGGAATGTTTCAATTTTGTTTTGCTCTGAGGTGCTAATGGGTTACCAATGGGTACTGCAAAGCTTCCTAAAGGGGCAAAACCACCACGTGCAGCACGGAAATATTCGGGGAATTTTAACCAAATGTGCTGTTTTTATTGACCTGTGTGCGACACCATGGACATTCCTCAGCTAAAATTTCTACTGAACGTGATACATGGACGTATAGTCTCGAACTGTGCTCACTTTGGTGGCAATATAAACTGCCGTCTGCACACAATCCAGTATCGCATCAACATTCCACCAAGACGAAAGCAGAGAGACTTTAATCGTGCCAGAGCTATGGCACGACTACAGGATGGATTTGAAGTCTGAGAAGTTGCCAGAAGGCTTGCAGTGTCACACTCTGTCATTATCCGCTTGAGGCAGCGCCATCAAGCCACCGGATCAGTCCAAGAACACACGGATGCAGGTCGACCCAAGAAGACGACTCAGAGTATTTGCAAGTAGTCCTTAACTGATGTTGAAGTCTGTATGTTACAAAACTAAAAATCCAACGGTATTAAGTACAACACTGTCTGAGTTTTGGCTTTGGTCCATAAAGGCCTATTAATTAATTAATCAACGAAACACATAAAAAGGGTCAGTAAGTAAACCAATATGCGTCAATGGCCGTAATATCTTTCGGAAATCTTTTTGGAATTGTCATTATTTAGTAAAAAGTAGACTATAATCCAGCTCTGATTTTATAATATATTTTTCTCACCACGCGGTGGAATCAGGCGAACGTCAGTTTTGGGGCACATACAGTTATCGATATCATCTTAACTCTTGTAAACGTTTTTTGTTTTTAAAGGAAGCAATACCCATCTATCTCGAATAGAAGTCGAGATATTTGCTATTGAAGGAGGTATGGGGTTGCCTAGTGTCAGGGATTAAATTAGCGAAAAAAAAATTGGTGCCAAAATTTTGGTGAATTTCAAATCTTCAGTCTTTGGAAAAGGAAAATTTCCTTTTTTTCTTGATTTTGATCAGTGTTTTTCAGTGTAAAAATCCACACAGAGATATGTTTTAAATAGACAAAAAAGGTGTTGAAACAAAAAGAGTATTGACAAAATTGCCCAAGAGGTGGAATAATAATCGGTTTGTGCGATTTCATTATTTTGACAAGGGCCTGATTTCACCACGATGCCACACATATTATTATCTTTATTTCAAAATTACAACCTGTGATCTGATTCTTGGATAATCTCCACAGCAGATATACTAATGACGTCAGCCTACAGGCGTCAGCTGAGAGAAATAAATCTGAATTAATCTATTTCTATTCTTCCGTTTGGCTTGACTCCACACAACACCACTTTGTACACTGACTTGGCTTTCAGATGATGACAGTTACGTGGTTGCTCTGTCTATCTGATTCTGCTGTGATCGGATTAAACCGCGGGGAGGGTGGAAGCATGGGGGTGTTTAAGACTGATTAATTGTACACATTGCATTACGTCGTTTTGATACAATTCCTTTTTGTTGTCTTCTTTGCATCTAATGTATCTTTGTTTGTTGTAGATTATACTGCTGCACTTTTGCTATTATATTGATAGTAGATGATTGTAGATGATAGTAAATGATTGTAGATTATTGTAGCCGATTAAAATGATTGTAAATGACTGGACAATATGCGAAACAATTGTATAATCAGGCTGACGTGAGGCTGCATGTCAGGGCCAATCGAGGCTGGGTTGGACGCAGCATCCCAGAAAACGGACGGGGACAGGCAACAAAATGACTTCCCAAAGAAGGGATCGAACTGACGCTAGTGTGCGAGGCAAAGGATCAATACGTTTCATCAAAGTCAAAGAGGTCGGTGTTGATTTTGAGGAAGACGTAACGATATTTACTATCGTTTTGAAATAGTTCTCTGTGTGATTTTTTAATAACAAAATTAGAAATGACGATGACTTCTGTAGCCGGCTTATTAAGCGCAAATGCAACTCGAAATACGTGTTTATTCCACCGGACACTAACACTTGCAATATTGATAGTTCATAAAAGTGCCGACGATGAGAGGTTTACTAGAGAGTAACATACAAAGTAAAGGAGGACGAAAGATAAGGACATCACAGGTTTGATAGAAAACATGGAGCTAACCACACCAGAGCGCCCACGAACCAGCCACACTAACACTTAAGAACAAGAACAAAAACAAGAACAAGAACAAGAAGAACAAGAAGAGCAAGAAGAACACGAACAAGAACAAGAAAAACAAAAACAAGAAAAAGTAAGATGATCACCGACAACATAATATACGCAAAATTACCGTAACTATCACCACTGTGTCAACCATTATCACCTCTTCCACAACTAACATTATCAACAATAATAACAACAACAAAAAACAACAACAACAACAACAACAACAACAACAACAACAACAACAACAACAAAAACAACAACCGGCGGTGGTATCTCTTTGGGGACAATTCAGGGGGGTTGGAACTGCCTCCCTCACTCCTCAAGAGCACGCTTTTCGGGGATCCAAACATTTCAAACGGATATGCTACAACATACACAAACACACACACACACACACACACACACACACACACACACACACACACACACAAACAAACAACAACAGCAACAACAACAGTTCTTTTGTAAGAGTTTTAAAGGCATTGGCAACACAATAAGGTCATATAATTGTCGAAGATTAGAGGTGTTACAAGAGAGTAACAAACACCGAAAAAGAAGGAGAGATCAGGACGTCAGATGTTTGATAGGAAAGAAGGAGCAAACCACACCAGAGCACCCGCCAACAAAAAACAGCAGAAGCAACAAAAACAACAACACCACTGAGAAAAACAGCTATGAGGAAAAAAAACGCAGTTAAAAAACTCATGACTATTTTTTTAAAATGTTTTCCTTACCTTGAAAAGTCTCAAGATATTGGCCACCATAATGGAGACAGGACTAGACGCGGCTCCTATCACTCCAGCCACGGGGCGGAGCGGGTGAAATATTGGCGGGTAGCCATCCCTGCACTCATAGTCGTCCACGTCGATGCTAGACAGCTGCGCTTTGATAAAGTCCATGCACTGCTCGAGAGCAAATGTGTCATCGCTGCAAGTGTCCAAAACGTGTAACCCAATTTTCAATTCCGGAAGGATTTCAGAGTCGGCGTTGAGGAGATCTACAGCGTAGAGCATCGCCTCGAGTCGCTGTATCCCTTTCTCTCGTTTAATCCTTCCGCAAGTTGCCCCACCGTGGAGACCTTGCTCGTGCATCGGGAAAAGCCCACCGAAGACGACGTCACCTTCCGTTACTATTTTTAGCAATGGGGAACTCCCATCCCCGCCCAGTCCCCCTCCTGCGACCACGCCATGACCAGCTGTGAAGGACGAGGTGAAGGACGTGTGTTTTAGCTTCGTGGCGGCGTTGCAAGTAGACACGAGGAAGAAAAGCAATGTCAGGGGCAGGGTCAAGGTCAGGAACGAAGCATTTTTGACCCTGGTGACCTTTGGCCGGAGCGAAGGGCGCCACTTGCCGCTGGGCTGGTGCTGCGGCAAGGCCTTCATTTGGTCAAGGTCGTTTTTATTAACGCCACCTAAAACAGAAACGATAATCACAGTAGAGGTCAAAGTAAGCATTGAGATATCAAATCTGCGTCGGATAACACTAGTGGTGATGATAATTATTATGATATCAAGAAGAAGAACAAGAACAAGAACAAGAACAAGAACATAATAATGGTGTAAAGGTAGCGATAAAGATGGTATAAAGATAATGTTAATCATAATTATGAAATGCCACCAAATCGACAATGATTTTGATAATAATAATGATAATATTATGGTAATGATAAGAATTTTTTTAAATGACAGCAATGATAATTTTTGAAAAATAACATTTGTATTGCTGCTAACAGCATTTCATCCTTTTATTACGTCCATGTATTATTACAAACCATTACTACAACTGTGATGATGTCTGTCATGTAACTTAAAAACCTCGTAAGTAAAGCCTATCATTCATATGGCAACTACTAAAAACAACAGCAAGCTGCATTGTCATTTGCAGCCTCTTAATACGCCTTTACAAAAGTATGTGCTGCCATTTTATCCCTTTTCATCGTTCCGGCAACTTAGAAACTACAAGTCGTGCAATAGTTATAGGCTGCATTGACTGTTCCTGAAGCAGGTAAACCAATATTATACGACATTACATTTTTTTTCTCCAGCAATGGACTACGACTTTTTATATCTTTTACAATCGGAAGTAATGTCTTTTATATCTTCCCGCCGTCCAAAATGAAGATTTCACATGGCATTACGCCACCATCGATTTCGATTTGAGACAGACAAATGAACGTCACTGCTCCTCAAAATGAGATGCTTTTGCTTGTTTGTGTATACATACATATCAATAAAAGTGTCCGTTAAAATGTCTGCCTCCTTCACATAGTTAAATTAGAAAAAAAAGAAGAATCTAATTTACTATTATAGAGAACAAACTAGTGAACTGTCTTGTCTATTTTTTTATTTATTTATTGGAGCGTGGGGGCGGGGGAGGGGGGGGGGTAAGGGTGAATTTAAGTGAAAAGAGGTTAGGCTGATTCTTGGTTGATTGTTTTGATATTGTGAAATGTAGCGGGGGTTTGGTGCAGTGGAAGTCATTTGACCTCCAACTTTTCCGACAACAACAACAACAATACCGTCATACTTCTTTTAAAATCATTACATACGATATTTCTATACTCTGTCGCGATAGGTCGAATGGGGAAAAACGTGCATAATGTTAAACCGTCTGAAAAGATATGCACGAACGAAACGGTTGATCAATTTACTGGCATAAACTGTCTTAACGTTAAAAATGACGCATCATCATGATGATGATGATGATGATGATGATGATGATGATGATGATGATGATGATGATATCGATGATGACGACGATAAAATAATAATAATAATAATGAAATTGGTCGCTATTAAGCACAAGAGGGCTATCCCGAAAAATGCTGTTTTGAGAAAATGGAAGGTAACGTTTTTTACCCTTGTTCAGTTTCTATAAAAAAGACAAGGAGAGTTTTCTCTATAACCAAACAGTTATACACACAAAAGAATCCAAACTTCTCCTATAGGTAGGGCAATGCCCACTTTTGGAGTAGGTCAAGATTTCTGGAAACCCCCGGAAAACTAGGTTAGCCCCGCTTGTCCATAAAAGCGACCAATTGTGTGAGCATCAGGGCTCAGAAACGGAACAATGTTATTTAAAAAAACGTATGGTTATTAATGAACAAAGTAGTCGTGTACTTTACAGCAACAGGCTTTTGTTGTTGCTGTTGTCATTATATGCTTTTTCATCAATCGCATTTCGTAGAGCGCGAGTCATAATCCGGTTGCCCCGGATGACACGCTGAAAAATTTCCCAGGCTGGGTATTTGTAATCCTAATTTGGTGTTTTCTTCCCTTAATCTGACGATGGAAAGAGAACGGGGTGCTACAGATGAAAGACAGTCAGGCAAACGACCTGTTTTCGACAATATAAAATTTTTATTAAAAAACCGACAAAAAAGATCAAATAAGTAAGAACAGTGGGCCTGCAGAAAGGCGATTTACTTACAGTATATTTACACTCATAAACTTGTCTTAAATGTATAGAGTTATCTCGACTTAAAAATTCTTTAATTTACATTTTCATCAATTAATGATAATAAATGACACCATGCCCTATACGACCAGAAAAATGTATCAAATATGAAAAGACAAACATTTTACGGTATGAAAATTGACTCCACGCAGCTGCACAAAGCGGTAATTTCATTATTTATGTGTTTGTTTGAGTAAAGAGGATCGGAGCACATTGACACAATAATTGTCATTTAGTACTTGGAAAAAGTAAGAGGTTCAGAACAAAAAAACCAATTGATGGAAAGTAAAGGAGAAGGACCTGTCAGTGGTGCACTCCAACCAGTCATTAGAGAATTTGCACGTTTGTCAAACCTCAGGAAGTACTGCCATATCTACTCAGAATCTGCTCAATATCCTAGCAAAAAGGGAAAAGCGTTTTCCTAAAGGTTTGAAGACTGAAAAGAATAATATTGTCTTCTTTGACATACCACAGAAAAGGTTAGAAAAAGGAATGAGATTTTTAAACGAATAATATAATCAATAGCCCCTCTGACAATTGAAGTGTTAAAGAAAATTAGGAGTCCGAATCAGATTAAAGGTTTTGAAAAATATCCGGTTATTAGGATAATTGATTCGGATTTGGTCCACCATTATTTCCTGGCTGAGCAGACGTCAAATACACTGTACTAAGCCTTTAATCTAAATCTAGATCTACATTAAGTAGGTCCTGTAGCAGTTGATCAGTCAAGAAGTAGTATGAACTTTAGAGCCAGACTGCCAACCAAGAAATCTTGATCAAGAATCTCGTCATTATCTCTACTCTGTTTTAGAAAAAAAATGTTACGCCCCTCGAAAGCCAATTAGGTCATACAAGTGCTGGGGGTTAGGGGTGTTACAGGAGAGTAACAAACACAGAAAGGAAGGAGGAGAGATATTCATTTGTTTTAGTAGAGGTTTTACGGCGCTCGCAACTGCATAAGGTCATATGAGCGCCAGAAGATTAGAGGTGTTACAAGAGAGTAGTAACTAACATAAAAAAGAAGGAAGGGAGATAAAGATGATAGATGTTTGATAGGAAAGAAGGAGCAAACCGCACCAGAGTACCCGCCAACCACCCAGGAGGAGAGATACGGACAATAGATTTTGACAGAAAAGAAGAAGGTCACATAAGAGCACAAGCTAACCATCCACTACCTACTCTGTATAATTCTAAAATCTACAACGAAATCAAATAGCTTGAGATATACCCCACCACACGGTTTTAAAAAAGTTTTGGATTTGAAAAATAATGTTAACTGGTTAAGCTATACTTTTGTGTAGTCAAAAAAACTAGAGGTTTTGCAATAAATGAAACAACAATGCCTAAGAGGCGAAGAAGTGAAGATGAGATAAAATAGTCGTATTCCTTATTGGGGACTTTTTTCATGGTTCCCCGCTCACTTGGTTCAGTCCGTCCGCAAACAAACCTCAAATTGGAAGTCCCGCCCTTTAAAATAACCTGACATCGTCGAAAGAGGTGCAAAGCCCTCACACTACGTTCATTATAGTAGAAAGATGACAGTTCTCTCTGGACCATAATATTCTGGAGTGAAAAGAAACGCTACTGGTGACAGTGCTTTCATTATGTGCTCTGCTAAGCTGGATTCGCACGATCATTAGTAGGGATGAGCTTAGCATGCCTGTCAAAACAAGGCGGTAACAAAGCACGACCCCTGTCTTGATGGTGCCATAAGCCGACTTGTCAGGTCTTGTTCTATCAGATGTTGAATAATGTGATGTCTGCTTTTCAAGAGGTGAAAGGGGCTGGGGAGATTGGGGGCGGGAGGAGGGGGGTAAGTGAGGGAGTATGAAACGATGCAGTTTTGCTTTACGATCTGACTCCTGGTTGATTTCTTACAACCCTGTTTTTCGAGGCCAACCCGGTCGAAGATAAATGCAGCACCCTACCGAACAGACGGACAAGCTCAACAAAATCACCGTCTTTTTCTCGCGAGAATCGAACCCATGTTGCCGAAGTGCTATCACGAAAGCTCTAACAATTGCATCTCAGACACAGGTTATGAAAACCCCAACCCAGCTAACCTCCAACCGGTGCTGTGGTTTCGGTGTCGTTTCGAGGCTTGTATACGTATTTCCCAATCGGAGATTTACTGATCGTGCCGAAATAACAGCGTTAATGAACGGATGACATCAGCAGACACAAATCTGGGTATTCATTATCAAATTTCACACCATATCACGTGCACACCGAGTGTTGTTACTTCTGGCGATTAACTGACTGCTCATTATGCTGTTGTGATAACATATTATTGTAATTAATTACTAATTCGGTATGACGAGGTTTTTAAAAAAAATTGGTTCAAAGTTGTGATACAAACTGTTTTTTAAATAGTTTTTCCTGGACCATTTCTCCTCTGAGCCTGGTGTGCTTACATAAAAAAGGGTTCTCCTTTTGAAATTATCTACTTAATAATTTAATGAGGCAAATTTCATCAAAGTATAACTATAACAGGTCGTGAGCCTGGTAGTATGTTGTAAACATAAAATTATGGCAAAAGAGAAGTTGTTTATATGGAGGACTGTATTCCTAGAACATTTGCAAAATAGTAAATCAAATCCTTACCCCTTGATCCCAAACGTATCGTCTTTACTTTCGAAGAATATTATCAAGGAAATCACGAACCAAAGGAAGGGACGCAGTACTTGGGCAATTTACTTCCTCAATGTCTACCACACCCCCGGGGTGGTGCTACTGACTCAAGAGTCTTTAGGCCATTACCAAAGGGGGGACATTAACCATGTTCTTATACACAGTATAGTAGAACTGTAATTGTGAATGGGCTGACTCATCAATGTCATGCTCATAACTGTGCCTGAACTGCAACAAGGAACTGCTGCTTTTTCTTTCCTAATCCTTACTATCGTCATTTTCCGTCTACTTCTTTTGTATATTTGTCACACTCTTGTAACCCGCTATTTCCGGGGTGCCTTGATAGTCGGAGCAGACTTTGTGCATTAAAGCTAGAAAGGTGAGCAGAGTAAGCCTGATTCCCAGTAGGGACCTCTCTGTTGACATCCACCCCTTGGCACTCATTTATGACTTTATGCAGTCGCGAGCGTCGTAAAACCTCCACTAAAACAAAACAAACAAACGTCTGCCACCCAAACAAAGCTCTGTCATGCATCCAGGTCTAAGATCGTCTGTCAAGAAGCAAAAAGCCATACTATAATGGCATAATGGTGGTCTTGCCCAGATCCACCCACAGGGGAAAGGGGGGGGGGAGTAGAAGGTTATTAAATCAGCCCATTGCACGTCCGCATGAGGTACAACCCTGCTAGTTGTGGGTCCACGTCAGTGCTCAGACCCACATAACATCACGTGACATTACATTTTCTGGTGGTGGTCGGTTATTCTTCATTCTTTCCCTTCAGTACTTACACAGCTTCATTCTATCCCCCAACCCTCTTCCACGCCCCCTTTTTTTTTTTTGGTAAGTGTTTTACGGTGCTGGAAACTGCATGAGGTCATATGAGCGCGCGGGA